AATACACTTAACCCTATTTTTTTTAGAAAACTGTTAATTTGCTATTCGGTTTATGAAAGAATTAAGTGTTTTACGTAAAAATTAGATAAAACTGTCAATATTATTCCATAATCAAGACTATCTTAATAGTTAAAGTTTAGAAATGTTTCAATTATATTGAACTGGTCTGTTTGCACATAAGGCAATGGACAAAATTTTGGCGTTGATTTTACTTGATTGTAGTCTACATGTATAGTTTACAATGTCTAACCTATTTTTATTTTTATTACACTTTTCATATCAATGGAACTTTGTACACGAAAAAAAATATCTGTGTAGCACATTATTCTTTCTTTGTAATATAGTTCGTTGATTTTGTTAGTTAACAATATTTAGCAATGGTCAAATGACTCGTTGTACCGTTATTTGCTTTGTAAACTTACCGTAGATTTCTAGTTTTGTTGGTACATTGCGAATGTTTTAACACATTTATCCAGTTTTTATGTTAAAGGATGATAACATATTACGTAAATTAGTCAACATAATAAAATTAACAACGACAATTACGCACGTATAATGAACTGAAAAGTAATGGGCTTTACAAGTGTGAATCTGTCCCTATACGATCTCTGACATTTGCGCGGTGTTTGCGTTAAGAATGATAAGTAATAATAATGGTATATGGTGCGTAATAATGAATAATAACACCCCGGCGTTTTTAACCACAGTCAACAAAACATACATTAGCAAGTGTAAAGTCAACCCTTGCTTCGTGTACATCATCTGGGTCGACTTAAAACCTGCTAACAGCGTGGAACTTTCAGACAAATAACCTAATGTACATATTAAAAACTTTGAAATAGATCGTTATTAACGTGGTCAAATTATCGGAGAGGTAAATATTTCAGCAAGTGTTGTGTTTAAATGGTTAAACTTCGATTGTTCATTTGATTATATTATTTTAAGTTTAATAGCTATTTGTTTTTCTATTGAAAATCATTTCTTCAATACAATAATATATCATTTATACTATAAAAACAACTCGGTCGCGAACAAACAAAAAATACTTTATTAATTATTTTTAAGCAACTTAAGTATCATCAAGTTGAAAATAACATTTAAAGTTTTTAATGAAAAAAATATATTTTAATGAATAGAATACTCTTGTAATAGCATTGGTATTATTTTTATTACCAATATAGTATATTGATTTAAAATTACTTTTTGTGAAATAATTGTCGTAACGCTTTTTTTTATTTAACTGAAAGTAAACTTTTATGTTTTAATCTGATAGATTTGAAAAATGTAAACGATCCGGAACTTTTCGAAAATTGAGAAATGAACATATAATATATTTAAAACATTTAAGTTTTATGTCTAATAAAGTCATGTTAAAAATCCAAATGCCATTTACTATTGAAATAAAAACTCAACATTTTATTAAATTCAAAATATTTGTTCCCATTTGAAAAAACAAAGTTGATACCCTTGCATAAGGATTGATCTTAAAAAGTAACACAGCTAATAATTCAACGTAACTAAAGGTAACCAAAAAAAATGTTTAAATTATTTTAGTTGTGTAAGTAATTGAGTGGGTTATGATAAAAAAATTACTGTGAATACTAAAATGTTAGGACTATATCAGGTTATTGTCGTATATTGAAATGAAAAAAAATGAATGTGACGTAAAAACTCACTATGGTAAAAACAATACCTTCATAGGTCCGCATCGAAGATTAAATTAATGATAATAAATACGCTCATATTATAAGAAAATGTAATCAAAAATGATAACACTTAAATTATTGGGGTGACACCTTACGCGGTCGCCTATCTGATGGCATTAATTTTAAAGGTAGTTCGTGTAGGCAGCAATCTACACTGTTTTGAGTGCAAAAAGGCCCCTTTAATAATAATAATTGGAGCTGACTTGTAAAGATATGCCAGTACCGTTGTGACGCTCGTCTAATTATTTCAAGCTAGATTAATTTGATAGCACAGCGGGCCATCATGCGTTTGACGTTTTCAATCAAACCTCCGAACAATGAATTTGGGTGCCTTATTATTTTATCGTCGGCTGAAATTATTTTCGACTCGCGGTGGATCTTATCAAATGTATAAAATCAACCCAATCGATTAGTCAACAACTTTGGAATAAAAAAACCACTAGAAAACCACCCTGTCTTTTTCCTATCGGTTTATTTGTTACGTGTGCTCACGTGCATTGAAAAAGAGATACACACACAAACGGACACATACGCACATAATCTGTGGCTCAAAAACGCACTGTGGTGGTCCACTTTCGTTTGTACCTAATCCCTTTGTGGCTTTAATATTATTAAAAATACCTTTCTAACAAATTGAAATGGATTTGGCCACAAACACAACCTATACAAACATTCGAAATCGAAGGCTGTTGCAAATAACATTTTTATTGAAAGAGCCATTTCTAGCGGCATAATTAAAAATTCCAAAGCCATAAATCAACAGCGGTTGTTTTCTGGACGAATATTTCGTGACGTAGCGAATGATGTAAATAGATGTTTTACGACTTTAAAATGAAACATATTGAAAGTATTACACTAAAAAGTTAATTCAACTTCATGAATCTCGTGAGAGAAACCGCACGAAACGGTCCAGTAACAGACACAAGTCATTTACAATATTTGTCGTGGGCAACGGTCCCTATATAAATTGCCAAGGGTCCTTATATACTGCGACAACCATGTGTACAATGTGTGACGTTTGAATAGTGTTCGTTGACATACAGCAAATAGCATTTTTTATTTTCGAACCTCCAGAGACATTCAGGTTCGATTGTAACGTTTAAATTGTGATTCTATATTAATATAGTTAGGTAAATAAAAAGTAAATATGATGTCCACGGGGATAAAAATGTATTTTTATAAAGGCAAATTTCTTACAATTGACAGCTCGTAAAATACAATGAAATTCCCCATTATTTTATTGACACTACGGTTGACAATCATTATTTTATCGTTAAAACTTCGAAATACCGTTTTTATATGATCGTCGTGCACACTGATATACATCACAATTACGCTGAAATAAAGCTCTATTGACCTAATCGATAAAATCGTTGGTTAGTTTTGGCTTTACATAAAATTAGGGACAATCAACGTCAAGTACATAAATTATAAACACTTATTTTTATTACGAATGTTAGCAGGTGCTTCCTTGCGGTCTGGAAATCGAATATATTTTAACCACAACTGTTGATGGTTGTCAAGAGCACGCGTTGGTATTAGTTCTCGCGGTTGATGAACATTATGAACCAAGTTCGATCACAAATCCCCAACTATAATCGAGTTTAACAATATTATAACAGCTGTTAAATTTTTGGTTTTCGCGTAATAAGAGAGGTCTTAGTGGAAATGTGGATTCTATACAAAAAAATCGTGTCGGCGTGTACGCCGGTCTCATAAAATAACACAACACTAATAATAGACGTTGTCACGTTCAGTATTGCGAACCGTTATACATTGAAAATAGGAGTCGGTAATTATAAAAGCTGTTAAAGGATTCGCGTGGTACTTTATCTTCAATTATATGGTTGCGAGTACTATTAAATATTTTTAACGAAACGTCGTTATTATATAATTATTATATTCTTTTGGTAAAATCGCTCCTGTTTATATTTACATTTTGTAATATACAACCGGAGCGCATTACAAACATTGTACGTGTTCAACATATAAACTGGGCGTGTTTACTTTTACACTAAAAAGTCATACCGAATCATATGCCGCAGGCTATTGCTGAGGGATCTTTAATGATGGGCAAAGCTTGGTCGAATGTATGAAAAAAAAAAAATACCTACCCTAATACCGCTTTGAGAGATACACATCGGTGACGTTAAGATTAAACCTTTGTAATTGTTCAGCAGATTAAAAAAACAATCCTAAATTATTAACTGGCAAGTACAAAAACACCGATTTAGGCTTTGAGGCCATTTCTGCTCGGTATAGAAGCTATTAGGCAACTAAGGGGCTACAATTTATTATCCGTACGTTGTACTATTGTAAATGTTTTATGTATGCTACTTGCATGTCAAATGTAACCGTCTCGTTTGGCACGATGGTAAAACGTTTGCTCGTGTTCGAATTTAAATATTTTATACTCTGGACTCTATTCATTCAATAAAAACATACTTTTCTTTTTCTTATCTTTAACTCGCTTGTGTGAAGCGCCGGCACTTCGGTAAACCGCAAAAAGTCGACTTTTTTGATTCTCAACAGGAAAGAACTTTTATTTTTTTACTCTCCTCACACTCGACATCGCCGTATGTAGAATTCTTATATTGAGTATTTAAAGTACTGTAAAACGCGAACACTTAACGTTTAGTGACTTTTTTTATTCTACATAAAATTAATTGCGTACTGTTGTTTCGACAACTGTACGTATTGTTATAAATTACTCGATTGCTATTTAACTCGTTCGTTAAATTAAAATTATTCCTTTTCGATTTATTTAATCTTACTACGCATATTAAAAACATAAATCAGTGTTAATACGGTTTTTCGGTAAAATATCTGAACCTTTAACATTTATGTATTTTGCATATTATGTAACGTCTTAAAAATTTTCCCCAATCAAATTTTAAGTTATGCACATAAGATATTTTTTTAGCGCCATACATTTTTATAAAATATAAAGTTTTCCATTCAATCGGTAAATTAAAATTTGATATTCGTCCATAATAAATGTATGTAAAGTTATGCTAATGACTACAGTGTGTGTGTACATTTTTTTAACACTTGGAGTAACTACATATTTTATATTATCCATGTAATAATACATATACATAACTTTACATTTATACGTGAATTTTTCCATATCTTTAATAGTATTTCGAGTAAAATTTTCACAAAAACCATTTATTGAACTTATTCCGTGAGTTAATGTTTATGAAAACGTTATTTTATAAAGTATAGCTATTAAAATATACAATTTTTAAATATAATAAATATCTTACACTAATTTTAAAATGTTTGTTTTAGAAAATAAACTCATCAATTTGTGAAAATTCGAAATTGTGTATTTCGTAAGTATTCTACTGTTATTGATTTTTATATGATTATCATACAAAATAGTTTAACGAAAAATCGGAAATGATTGGAAAAATCAAATTACTGATTAAGAATGTATAATTGCATAATTTTTAACGATAACGTATATGAGAGTCGATGTTCTGTAAAATATTTTCTTTATTACAAAATTAATAGTTTTATATTGAAAATGATTGTAGCAGTTGAACATTTCCAATGAAAAAAATCATTACATTGCCGTTTATATTTTATTGAATTTCATATGAGAAATTACAGTTTTCCGGTTGAATTTAAATCGTCATGTTGTTCGATATGTGTGGTGTAGTAATTGAAAACTTTAAGGTTAACACGGTCGGTGTTTATATTGTATAAGGAAGTGCGGGCAGTGGCCGAGTAGAGTAAATAGAACATTCACTGCTCGAGACAGGAAGGGAGCGAAAAAAGAGGAATGGGAAAAAATAGAACTGCCTGAAGCAAAGCAAATTTATTACCTCCATGTGTTCAGAGAATAGAAGAAGAGGTTGAAACTTTCTTTGCCCTTTGGAAGTTATGGTTAAGGGATGCCGAACGCCCTTTGGATACAATCCAGATTATTTGGTATTTTATAATTTCGCACGTTTCAAGTGATTTTTGCCACACCGAGTTATAAACGTTTTCAAAACGTATATTAAACCCGTTTTAGACCATATTTTGGTCAAAGTGTTTGGACTTCTCGGCTCTGCCCATATATTTTCTTATTGCCGCCTAACCCTATACGGTTTTTGAAGTTGAGCGAGTGTATAATACATTCGTTACTAAAAGATAAAAAAAGTATTTTTTTGAATTTCAGGAACTACTGATTTTTTTCAATAAACTATTTGATTCACGGTTATTGTCAGTAATGAGGACGTTTAGAAACCGTAAAATACGTTTAATCTCGTTATTGTTTGTATAAAACCTAATGATCTATAAATGTGGTATGTACTCCATCATTTTTCGTTGAATAATGATTTTTTCATAAAAATATATAGATTAAAATTGGATTAAATTTTATAAGCTATTGTAAATATTAAGTTTATTATAAAAATATAACATTCCTAAGGGTATATTTCAGGGATAACTTTTACTTAATAAATCACAATAGATATTTATTGAATGTATACAAAGTAATCGCACAAAAGTATGATTAATACATTTTTGTTGTAATTTTGCATTATAAAGTAGTTTTAATTAATGTTTTTTTCTGCACGTGAAATTTGTCTAAAAGAAATTGTTTAACACAGAGTAACGTAAGCTCATCAAACCTTCTTGAAAAGCCACTTTCGTCTGTAGTATTTTGTAATTAATACCACTGTAATATAAACAAGGGAGGATGTTAACGGAACTAAACTAACGAGCAGTGAGCAAAACTATTTAATGTGTAGATTAAAGCGAAATTGACAAGTTTTCAATTGTGCACCTTTAATTAATTTTAATTTTGTTCTCCGTTAAAAGTTAAATCACTATTTCAGTAATTATACATTAAATAAATTTAAGTTATGTTAAAAATTCATATCAAATCAGTTTGTTTTTTTTATGATTAATTTCAGTTTCAAGTTTGTTGTGTATGATGTTGTGTGTGCATTATTTTTTGTTAAATAATGAAAATGGATCATTATATTATGTTAATTATTACTGTTGAAACACAATTATTATGCTAAATTAAATTCTGTATTTTTTATATAGACTGTACTATAATATTACACGAAATAATATGTAAAAGTAAATTAAATGTTATTTACCTATCTTGTATATTTAGAAATAATAATAGAAAAACACTAGTGTATGTCTTAGGGTTTTAGATTATAAATATTATATTTATTTGACGAGAAATCATTTAGCTTAAAAAAATATTTTTTGGGCCCATAGTTAAATTCTATTTTACAAGTATTTGGCATTACGCCAAAATCTCTTTCATAACTAAACATTATTTGTTGAATGTAGATTTAAATCACAACAGGCTATTTCATTATAAAATAAATAAAAAACAGTTGCAAAATATTTTCTTTAAAAGAGAAAAAATAAAATATGATTTAGGCACTCGATGAGGTCTAAAATAAGTATGACTGAATCTGCGAGTGTACAGGATAAATGCAAAAGTCACACTTTTATTTTATTCTATTTTTACTGTACGTGTTATAAACAAATTTCTTTTCAACATTTTTAGTAGTACAAGTTATATCTGTATTATAAAGTAATAAATGTTTAATTTGTTTGTGATTCAATTATTTGTTTGAACAAACCGATTATAAATCTTACAATCACTTTGTGCTCTACTTATCATCGCCTCCAAAGTTAATATTCGTTTAAGCAATCTATTTTGATTGAACGATTTTATTTATTTAAATGCGTATTCGCATAGCAAACATTAATGTTATGCAAATGAATGCTGATTGATGATCAATTACTTTCAGATTTCACATTATTATTTTTAGCTCCAACGAAAATTCCACTTAGATGATAATTTACTCTCAGTATAATTTTTTTACTTTATCACTCTTTCATACAGTACTCCATCAATCGATTTCGAATTTTCAAGATTGAAGTTAGAATATTCCAAATTAATAATTGTAACGTTATAAATAATGTTACAATTATAACGTTTAAAATAAAAAAATTTGTCAAAACGTTATCAAAAAACAGAAGATAAAAAATATGTGATATCAATAAACATAAAATATCATTGAACATAATTCAACTTATAACGTAATACAATTCTCATTAAAACAAAAATAAATTATTTTTAACTGTTATAATATGTAAGAAATAAAGTAGCTATTTGCCCATATTGAAAACTGCTTATGACAGTAAAATATGTTTCGAGCCTTTTAACGTTTAATATAAAAATTTAGTGACGTAAAAATCAATTATACATAACATTATAATATATTTAAATGTTAAACTAATAATTTTTCAATCCAACCTTGTAAATTTTACGACATAAAATTTCAAGTTTCACCAAAACACAGTAATGATTTATTTGATTAATATATATAAAAATAATCATTAGATAAAGGATCTTTTTTAATTTGGACTGGGTTTAGGAATAAAAATTGAAATATTTTTTTCAAAGCCTCAAAAGATTTGTTATTATTTTAAGATTTTACTCGAGATCTTAAGATTCTATTTTGTGAAATTGTTCATTATTTATATAACAAAATAAAGTAATGCTTATTCATTCAATATTTTTTTACTTTATAATAAACTCTTACTGCATTCGTTTATTTTTTATGGTTTGTAGAAAATTTGTAGTCTGTTTTCTACGGAGGCAAAACGGTTGAATATAATAAGCGTTTATACCAAGCAAATTAATTTTAAAAGAAGTTTGCACTTTAAAAGTGAAAGTGAGCCAGAAGTTTTTCTTTTATAAATTTAATAGCATTTTCATTTATTCATACGTTTATTTGTTGTATAACTAGTGAAAGTTGTCAATTAAATTTATCTTTTTTTTTTTTGAAGAATAGACAATTTAAAGTTGACTTACTTCTAATTAACATTTAAATCGATTTTTTCATTATATATATATATATATACACAAAGTAGTCTCTTACACTTGAAAATTGAAAATAAAATCTAAGATATTTTTTCATATTTACTAGGTATTCAATAATTTTAAATGTTATTTTAGATAAACTGTTATATGAACTAGCGATTTAATGTAGGAAGACTTCTAAATAATTGGGAAAAATTAATAGAAAATTATGTGTTTCGGTAACAATAAAACTATACATAATTTGCGAGATCGAGTTAAAGTATTGAGTATTCCTACTTACAGTAATATCAGTGGATATTAGTCTTCTTGTAAACGGTTGTTTCGGTCCAATCCACTGATTCAGCGGACTCCACTGACTGTGGAAGGACAACTTCGTGATTTGTGAATTTTTGGTTATTCACATCTAACTAACAGCAAAACCAAACTGAACGTGGCTAAATTGAAGCCCCTGATAATTACTGACGACAATAATACGCCTGCAAACATTGTATAATTTCGACTTAAGTCGAGGTACATATATAGCGCAGAGGCACATAAATGTAGCACTGCGATATTTGGAGTAAATAAAATAATCCATTCCACTGACGTTTACACACAATTGATATCTCGGAACGACAAGTAAATTTACACGGCTTTAAATCAACAGATATGCCACTGCATATAAAAACCCAAAACTAATATAAAAAAACAAACACAATAGTTGACGTTGCGCACGGCAATCCAAAATTCGCATACAAAATCTGACTTAGTGTCGTCAAAGCTGTTTGAATCGTAGCCGTTAATTAAACACAATCGTTCGGACACTAGTTAAAGTTATTATACTAATAAAAATATTAATATAAAATAGAATGAAATTTTCGTTGAAATCCAGTATAATAGTCTAAATGCAGGCTTGTAAACTGAAGTTTTAAAAAAAATGTAAAACATAAAATAAAATATATATTAAGTTAATTAAATGTTATGCCTATGCGATATTTTATTCCTGAAAATCATAAAACTGTATTGAAAAATTCGTTTTAATATTTACTACAACTTATAGTTGTATGTATTGGTGTTGTGAAGCATAATGATTACTGTTTTTTTAACAAAGGATTATATAAATTAATTTAAAACGAGCTTTGTTATGAAGAGTTGATAACTTCAATTTATTGAGTACTTGAAGCATTAAGTGAAAGAGAAAAGCATTATAAATACATATATATATATATATATTTGAAACCACTTTAGTTGTGAACTCTACGTATAAAATATGGAGTTAAAAGAGAGTTCTATATTACAGTGAGATGAAAAAGTAAAAATATTATTTTTTCAGTATTAAAATAGTTAATGAAGAATATTAAAAGAGAGATTATAATATTTTATTTTATTCTTTGGAACGATTTGGTTCAAATTTTTTATTGATGAATAATTTCATGTATTTATACATAAAAGGTGTATTTACAAAAGAATAATGTAGGCTGATATTCATATTTATATTCGAAATAGTTATAATATATTATTACTTTTTTCGTTAACGTTTTATTGTATACTTATGAAACAAATGAAACACGGTGCGGTTTAACCAAAGCGTTTGCTATTAAACGTAACAAGTATTAATTTATTAATAATTGGTTTTATTTTTTGGGAGCTAATAGCAATTTATAGTTATCAGTTAATAGTTATTTTACTGAGAATAATTTTTATATGATTTTAACAAAAACATTTACAATGAAAACTGATTTGGATAAAGAAGTCTTGTTAAAAATAGACAAATTTCGATTTAGATCTAATCGAACTTGGTGTAGTCGGGACTATTAAAAAAATGTCTACTTTCAACAAATCCATTTATTTTGGAAATATTATTAGGTATTTAAGAAAATAGCACCCAGGTTCCAATGACTTTTCATCAAGAAAAACCCCTTCAAGAAGTAGTTAATTTATATTGTCCTTTGTTACTTGCGGGTAATATGCTCTTCGAACGACGTTGTCGCTTTCTAGGCTGAAACAAATGGTCTTCTACAGGATCCCTCATAATACACCTAAAGGGTGTTGTGTAAAACTATTTGTCCTCTTTCGTAATATCCATGACGGTAATGTACTGCATACAGTACACGCACTCATTTAGGTTCATACATATTACTATAGCTTGTGTATTTATTGTCTTTAGTTTCTGGTCACGTAACACGTGTACATTATTTCATTACATTTATTATAACACACGAGTGTTTTAAGTATATCACTGACCACTAACACCTCCTTAACATACAAAAGTACTATCACGATGGTACAAATATATACACCTGGAAAGATAATAGAATAAAAGAAAATGAGAATCCATAATATTTAGCTTTTTCAATAACAGTTTTTGAATGCGTAAAATTTACAACTAATTACAATTTTCCCGGTTAATTTTTATCAAGACGCTTGTTATCTGCAAATTAACTTTATTACAGAAACATGGGTGTAAAAGCGAAATAGATTTTTAATTTTTTTTTTCTCTATTCTGTTTTTCTTCCCTCCAACCGATGAATTCGTCGTACGCAAACCGTGTAATTGGATATTACGAATTTAATTTGGAACAGCGACCACAGACACATAATTACGTGTCAGGTTTGTAGTTCCAGTGGCCCCATTAGAATAATAATAATCATAACAATACTTCCGTTGCCGGAGACGTAATTTACCATTTTCCAAGATATTATCCTTGTAGTCAAAAACATAAATGATAAACTTGATTTTTTCGTGTTATTTAACAGCTCCTATTTTTTTTTGTGCTGTATAAATACATGCAAGCTTGGATGTTTATTTATAAAACTATTTCATCACAATGTAGGTTTATGATTGAAAAATATATTTATAAGTATGGTTGAGCCAAGATAGTTTATTGCGGTAATGAGGAATCTGGAGTAAAATTTTATGCAATCACAAAATAAAATTAATTTTATGTAATACAAAATTTTATAAAAAAAAATAATTAGTGCACAACGTTTAATTTTTTTTTTCAATTATTCATGCATATATTTTAGGTCGAATATAGGGTAGTCATATAGGAGGGGAGTATAAGTACTTCTAGAAAAATAAATAACAATAAATATTTCAAGGTTAGTTATAATAATATATATTCATGGAGAATTTTTCAACTTTTAATGTCAATACAATAAATACAGTAAAGGGGAGAGGGACGATCCATTAAAAAAAAAAATTATTTATCTACCAATAGTTTATGACAAATTACAATTTCAATTTCATACCTGAAATAATAATTAACTAATAAATGTCAGAATAATTGAACTAATTAAGTTATCTTTTCCTTTGATAAATTCATACTTAAAATTGATTCACCTTTACCGTCCAAATAACGAAATATACCAATATTTTGTAATTTTTTACAAATAATATTTCTCTGTGAAAATTACAATAAAAATTATTTTCAGAATATAACTAGGAATACGAATGCTTCTTTTGGACTATCCTGTAATTCCTTCTGAAAATTTAACACTATCTAAAAATTTGCATCGAAACGTTTTTTATAATAGTGATTTTAATCACTGTCAGTTATCATTTATAATTGTCACAATTAAGGCACGTCTTCACTGCGACCTCTCTATGTTGGTTTTTTAGAATGGGTTTAAACAACAAATGTGTTTGAATAAATGAAGATTGACTTAACATTGATGTATCAAAAAGTAAAAACTGTGTTTGTTCTAGGAAAATCCAGAACTTAAACTCTGGACATATCTCATATACGAGTATAATAAAATTAATTAGCACCTCCACATTAAAGTGAGTATCATAAGGACCCCTAATTTAAAACTAACTTCTTATGGTTTTTTTTTTTATTTACATCTAAGTAATAATCCATAGTTTGTTAAATATAGAAAAACTTTAGAATAATATGACATCTTCGAGATAACATTAAAGATTATTGTTAGAATAAAAACAATAACGTAGAAATAATAAATATTAAATTGGCTCAATGTCAAATTTGACTTGTGTTCACAAGTCATAAACCTTCAGTTCAAATTCGACATTTCCGCATCATTTATTTTTCAAATGGAGTAAAGAATACATTTGTAAGATGGTGCTGATAAAGGGTGACCCCACAGGGTACAAAAACAAAGATTACTAATACCTTTCGTTTTCACATTTTTAATGGCGAGAAAAAGAAATCACTTTTGTGTATGCTTATCCATTTTCAATGAATTCGTGTATGACATAGGTCACACAAAAATGTATTTTTAATAAAAATACATGCTGATAAAAATTGTTTACCGCCGTGTAACCATTATATTTCTTAATATCCTTGTATAATATGACTTATACACAATGAAAGGGACTTGAAATATTTTGGTAATAATTATCATCGTTGATGATATTTATTTGTTAAAGTTTTAATCTCAAAAATAGAACATTCAAAATTGGAAAGATTACGTTTTATTTGTTTCTTAAAAATAATGAAATTTTTTGTAACTTAACTATCTGTTTTGTTCAAAAGTTTTCGGATCCGATTAAACGAATACGAAAACAATAAATCACAAGTAAATATGTTAATTATGATACAAGAAAGTAGGATTAGTCGTGGGCGTTTTATAGCCAAATCCGTAACTGTTCATCTAACAGTTTGGGTGTATAGATTGATGTAAAAAATGCACTGGAACGCACTTACACAATTTTCTTGCATAGATACACTTTCCAAGTTTAAAAGAATAAAGGGCACCCTGAACCGTAATTTATTACCCTTCGTTCAATAGTTAACTTCTATTTCGGTCGTCTGACCCGACAATCTTAACATCGATCGCCCCTACAGATATACTCTATGCAGCACAGCCACTCGTTTGTTTACCGAGTGTAAGCCATTGCGGCAGTCTACGCGGACAGTTTTTACCACGCTGATGGATTCGAAACTTGCAAATAAATCACCTCTTCCACCGCGGCCGCCCTGTACGATTACACTCTCCACTTGTTCGCGTAGAGTGCAGAAGAAAGCTAATGTTTGAGGTCACTACTAATGAAATAAGTTTCCTCGTTCTTGTTAAACGAACCGATGTCCGAAACAGCCAGGGCAATAATGTAATTCTCTTCATCGTCATCTGGATTTCGGTTGAGCGGTTGTTCTATTAACACCCCACTCGCTTCCTAGTTACTTGACATGTTACATATTATACATAAATTATACGTCCTTTTACATCCGTTCGAATTTGAAAGGATAACGACGACAAAAGATAAATTCCAAGGTTTACGAAAAAATTGTATCTGTTCTAAAATAAAAACATGTATTTTAAATCGAGAATTTAAAATATCAGAAATTGTGCAGTTCTGATGATATCAGGGCTTTTTATAGGAAAAAAATATTGAATTTAACAATTTATTTGAAAATCAGAAATATTGTGTATTCCTGTTATATTAAAAAATCATCTCCGCTACTTTTAATACGCTACAT